GGCTGGGGGGAGGTGAGGGAGGAGGGAGGAGGGAGGGAGGGAGGGAGGCCGGGAGGGAGGGAGGGAGGGAGGGAGGGAGGGAGGGGAGAGCCGAGAGGGGAGAGGGGGAGGGGAGAGGGGGAGGGGGAGGGGGAGGGGGAGGGGGAGGAGGAGAGGGGGAGGAGGAGGGGGAGGAGGGGGAGGAAGAGGAAGAGGAGGAGGAGGGGGAGGAGGAGGGGGAGGAGGAGGAGGAGGGGGGAGGAGGAGGAGGAGGAGGAGGAGGAGTGTATAGGACGCCCTCCACCGAGCCGGCGGAGGGTGGGGCGCGGGAGGGGCTCGACCTTCATCTCGTCGAGCGCCTGCGCCTGCTCGCCTCCCCGCAGCTGGTCAAAGCGCAGCCCCATCCTCTGCGTCGCCGTCATCTGACCAGCGGTGGAGGTGGCAGAGGGCGGAAGTCAACGGCGCCGTGGCGGTGAGAAGCTGCGGGCGAGAGAGGGAGCGGCCAGGGTAGCGGCGGTGAGGCTCCGCCTTGTCTTCGGCAGCCAGGCCTTCCTCGTACTGCGCGCGCAGCGCTCCGAGGTCAAAGGTGGGCGCCGCAGCGAGCCCCTCGTAAAACTCGCGCAGCGACTCAGATCGACGCTCCTTGCGCACGTCGCGCATCGCCTCAGACGTCGCCTCTGTCCAGCTCACGCCGCGCTCACGCGCCTCGGCCATCTTTGCGGCGGCGCGTGTGCGCGAGGCTTCGCCGAGGCCGACGGCCGCACTTGCGCGCTCAAGGATGCCGCCACCGCCCGCGTCGCTGCCGCTCGCCGAGCTCAGGCGGCGGAGCGCGGAAACGGCGGGCAGCCGCTGCATCGGGAGCTGCGCGAACACGCCTCGCATTGGGCGATCCGAACAGCGGTGGAGGGAAACGAACGTACAGTCGAAGGTGGAACAGTGGCTTGGTGGAGCAGTCCCGAGATAAGCGCGGTTCGGAGAGCGTGAGCGGAGAAGAGGCGCATCAAAAGAATTTGGCCTCGGATCCCTTATATAGATGTTAAGTGTGGGTTAAGAGGGAGATTCGCGCGAGCTGCGGGACCGCCGGGACGGCGGGCGGGTGATTGCGGATCCCTAACCAAAAAAGCACGATTCTCAAGTTGGGCCCTCGGTCTGGTGTCTGCTTTGACCTTTGTGCACGAATGAAAAGGGATCCCTAGCGCTAACTTGACGGCGAGGCTACCCAGGATACCCATCACTGAGCCGACGATGCTATGGGTAGCCCCAGGGTGGCGCCCACCCCCATACCCTCAGGCACTTGCCTGCGCCCTGGCCGCGCACGCCCGCGCACGCCCGCGCACGCCCGCGCACGCCCGCGCACGCCCGCGCACGCCCGCGCACGTGCGCGCACGCCCGCGCACGCCGCACTACGCGGCACTGCCCAGGTTCCCTCACGCTCAGATTCCCTCACGCTCAGATTCCCTCACGCTCAGATTCCGTGCAAGGGGGTGCCGAGGTATGCCGCAGGCCGGGATGGAGTGAGATCTTGCGGGGCAGGGCGTGGGCTAGCGCGTGAGGGCGCAGGCAAGTGCCCGAGGGTATGGGGGTGGGCGCCACCCTGGGGCTACCCGTAGCATTGTCGGCTCAGTGATGGGTATCCCCACACAGCCACTGTCCCCCCCTAGCGATGTCCAGCCGGCGAGGCCACCCACATCTCCGCCGACTAAAATATCTGTTTGGGGTGGAGGCCATCGAGTTCATGGGCAGCCTAGAGCAAGACTCCGCGGCCAGGCTCCTGGAGGAGGCGGGGAGCGGGCCCGACCTCCCGGGGGAGGGGGTGAGTACGACCCAATACTGCCGTCCGGGGAGTCGGGCACGGGATCGCCGTCGGTGATGGCGACAGAATCGGACAGAGAAGACGAGACAGTGGCGGGGCCGCGGCTGAAAAAGGCTAGGAGGGGAGGTCGGGCCCCGCGCCCGTCGGATGACCATCGGAAAGCGAACAAGAGGAAGAGCCCAGAGGAGAGGGGAGCCTCCAACCTCCGGAGTGGGGATGGGGACCCCGCGCGAAGGGGCCCTGAGCGGTGACGTGTTTCACCTCCCCCGACAGTCACGGCCGTAGACTGCGCAGTAGCCGCGCCGCCTCCCCCCTCACCCGGTCCCTCTCGATTCGGTCCCACCCTCCCTTCGCTTTTTTGCGCTCTTCGTTTCGGACGGCGGGGGCGCCGCTTGCGCTCGTTCATGGAGCTGCACGACCTTGCTGCGCATGTATCTGTTTTTGTTTTTGCTGCGCTGTCCTCGTTCTACAAGAAGCCGTTTTGCGGGACGTGGCAGCACCCGCTGAATCGTGTGTGTGCGCGACCGCCTTACCTTGTGAAAGTCTTCCTTTTCTATGCAACCTGTCCTATCGAAAGAGGACTCTCTGGGATCCTGTCGTCTGAGCGTGAACCTTACCCCGCCCCTCTCCTGATGCGATGATGCGCCTTCCGCACGACGAGGGGGGGATAGTCGCCGTCCATCCAGCGGTGTGTGTCGTCGGCGCGAACCCGTCGTGCGTCCGCTCTAGTCTCTACCCACGCGCACGCCTCGACCAACCCCCCCCCCCCCCACCCTCGCGCAGTTGTCTTTGTCTCTCGCCAACATGGAAACCAAGCCGGATGCCGTCGTTCCGGGGACGACATCGCAGAGGTCAGCCTCGCGCGCCTCATTCATGAACATCACGCGGCCGTCGGGAGCGGTCGGTGCGGACCCCGGCCGCAAATCAGGGTACGTTGGTGACCCGGCCGAGGAGAAGGCCTCGCTCGCCTCCTCGCTCGTCAACCTCGCCAACACTGTGATGGGCACGGGCATCCTCGCGCTGCCTGCGGGTGCTCTAGTCACACAGCGGACGCAGTATTGACAGGGCGCACATCTCCCTTGCACCGGCTGTGCTCGGTGAAGTACGCCGTCTGCGCTGCCCGTAGTCACCACTCTACTTCCCGTCGTCCGCTTGCCACCCCAAGCTCCCAGTTACTGCCAATGCCGCGCCCTACGCCCCACCGGCTCGCAGGCATGGGCACTGCCGGTCTGATCCCCGGCATGTCCTTCCTCGTCATCACTGCGGCGATGGGCGGCTTTGCGCTGTATTGCCTCGGCCAGGCCCAGCTCAAGATTGGGCCTCACCCCCAGTCCTTCACCACGCTGGGCGACGCGGTGAAGCCAAAGTTCTCGGTCGTCGTTGAGCTGGCCGTAATCTGCAACTGCCTGGGCTCGGCCATCGGTGAGCGCGGCCTGTAAGCAGCCCCATGAATGAAAGGCCGTTGAGCGCTCCACCCCCTATGTGCAGGCTACCTGATCGTCGCGACCGATAACCTCCTCGGCGCCGTCATAAGCATAGCACCGTGCCGTCACCTCGGCAGCGATGGGATTTATACACACAGGACGTCAACTGCCCGATCGCAGGTATCTTCGGCACGCCGGGCGGCAGCAGCTTTCTTGACCAGCGTCAGGTTTGGACGGTCGTGGCCGTCCTCGTCGCCGCCCCGCTCTCGCTGCTCAAGACCATGGACGCCCTGCGCGTCACGTCTGCCCTCGCGGTGCCTGACCACACGCCTGTCCCCAGCCTAGCTGTGCGGCTGCAGCGCACCCTTTTGGCCGGAGCATTGCAAAATGAGACTGCTTGCCGCCTCCAAACGGTGCCGCTCCCCAAAACGACTTGCAGGTAGGGATCCTCATCGCCGTCGCTGTCTTGGTTGTCGCCGTGTACTTTGAGCCAACGGACGACCTCTCGCCCTGCGGCACTATCGGCGAAACGAGCTGTGTCGGGGAGAAGCCCAACTACGGCACCTTCATGCCGACGTTCGCCAAGTTCGTCGTCTTCACTAATGCCTACACCTGCCAGCAGTCGCTGCCGCCAATCATCTCGGAGCTCGAGAACCCGACGCCCGGCCGGCTGATGATCCTCATCTACGGCGCCCGCGCACTCGCCGTCCTAGCGGATTTGTCACAAGGCGGCGACTCCCCTCGTCCTGCTTTCAGGTGGCCTCGCCATTGTCTTCCCGCTGTACGTTAGCGTGTCCTACTTTGGCTACATGTCGTTCGGTGTCAACGTCGCCTCCAACATCCTCAACAGCTACCCGGTCAACGCCTTTACCACGCTCGGCCGCTTTGGCGTCGCCATCGTCGTCATCACCTCGTACCCCATCCAAACCTTTGCGACGCGCAAGTCGTTTGCCAACATCCTCCGCACTCTCGGCGGCGGCGAGCCGCCCAAGACCCCGCCGTCAACCTTCATCAACGACAAGCTCGAGCTGATGACCATGATTGTGCTCCTCATATTCACCTTCAGCGTCGCACTGGTCCGCGCTCGGTTTCCACTTCCCACCCCACCCCACTTCCCAGGTGCTCCTCGTCTTCACCTTTTGCATCGCATTGGTTCCCCATCCAAGCTACATGGAGCTCCATGAAAACAGAAACATTAGCTCCACACCACCTGCACTCGCGCCTGTGCCGCTCTTACCTGCCCGTCGCCTGGGGTAGGTCGTCACCGACCTCGGCGTGATGGTCGGCATCACTGGCTCGACGGGCGCCGCCGCGATCACCTTTGTCTTCCCTGGCCTCTTCTACTACGTCACGCACGCCGACCAGCCCGGCCCACTTCGGACGGCCGCGTTCGTTCTTTTCATCTTTGGGTGCGTCATCATCCCGGTCTCGCTCTTCCTCACGCTCGCGGGGTACTGAGGCACCGAGGCGCGAGGGCCCGGCGACTCGCTAAGGGCGAGCAACACGGTGGGGATGCGGCCGACGCCCTCCGCCAGACTGTGTGAGATGATTGTCCACGCGCGGCCTGGCGCGTTGAGAGGGGTGGTGCTGGGGTGCCAGCCCTCAAACTGCGCTCAACACCGCCGCGTGGATTTTCTGTCTATTGGTTCCCAGTTGTGTCTCCGACCCGTGCCCGAAGCGGCGCCTCAGGCTTCCCACGGGCCAAGGTGAAGGCCGAAGTGACGAGCGGCGCGGTTAGCACGGCCGGGGGAGCATGCTCTCGTCAACGCGCGCTGACCGCTAATATTGCCGTCACGCGTCAGCTGCCGGCGGGCGGTTTTTATGTTGCATGTTGGCGCTTGGGGATGTTGCTTGTTGGTTGTTGGTCGGTTGCAAGAGTATAAGCATGCGTGAGTGTGAATACTGGGGGCAAGGGGGGCGGGGGCGGCGGTTCCATGGTATACCGCGCTAAAAAAAAGAACAACAACGCCGCGCAAAAAAGCAAAAAAAGGCGGGCGCGCAGACGCCAACGACTCACCGTCTCCGCACGACGGACCCCGCCCGTGATACGCCCCGACTCTTCCTGGGCTCAGTTCTGCGCCTCCATTGCGTCGCGGAGCGCCTCCACCGTTGCCAGGACCGGCCCGACGGCGGCGCGCACCTTGCGCGCAATCTCTTCGAGGTGGTTGTTGTTGAGGCTCTCCCAGTTGGCGTCGATGAAACGTTTCGCCGCGAGGTACTCGTTGTCGCCGCCGCCCACTCCCGCGCGCAGCTCAAGGAGTTTGCCATCGCCCAAGTCGACGTCAATGGAGAGGGCGGGCTCGGAGCCATCGGGGAGCGTCTGCGCCCAAGCGAAGGAAGTGGAGGGGATCGGCATCTGCCCGACGCGCGACCACCTGCGGAGGCGCACGCGGGCGGCGGAGGCGGCGGTGGCGGGGAGGGCGGCGGCGGTAGCGGGCGGTGGCGGAGACTGGCGGGAGGCGCCCCACCGCTTCGAAGCAGACTGCCAGCAGAGCAGCACCACCGCCTGGCCGTCCCTCGCCTTGGCCAGTTTCGGCTGCATGTCCGCGCCTCCTGGCGGGGCCCCGCCCGCGCAAAGGGCGTCGACCAGAGGCAGCGTGGCGAAGCGTGGCACGCTCGTCACCGCCTCGGACGGGCTCGGCTCCCCCGCCGCCTCCTCGCCTGCCACACCGCCTGGGCAGGGGAGCGAACCCTCTTCAGACGCGAGTGGTGGGGCAAAGCTGGGGGCACCTCCTCCCCCGGGTTGGGCAGGGAGCCACTCGCCATCCAACGTGCAAGCCCTGCGTGTGTGTGTGTGTGTGTGTGTGTGTGTGTGTGTGTGTGTGTGTGCGTGCGTGCGTGCATGCGTGCGTGCGTGCGTGGTGTGTGTGTGTGTGTGTGTGTGTGTGTGTGTGTGTGTGTGTGTGTGTGTGTGTGTGTGTGTGTGTGTGTGTGTGTGTGTGTGTGTGAGCGCGTCCGTGCGTGTGCGTGTGTGCGCGCGCGCGTGTGATGCGTGTGCCTCCGCCCCTCGCCGCCGCCAGGGCGGCCCAGATGCCGTCGGCGCGGCCCAGCACCGCAGCGACGAGCCCCACCTCCGCCGCGGGCAGAGCGCAGACGAACGCCTCGGGCGCCTCTGCAGGCTCGGGAGCAAACCCCGCGGCGAACAGAAGCGCCGCGCCGCCGCTCGCGCCGAGTAGGCGCGAGGCGAGCGCTTTGTTCGCCGCACCGATTCGCCGCTTTCGCTCATTTGCGGCGTCGGACGCAAGATTTGTGACATACGTCGCCGCGAGGCGCAGCGCGTCCTGCGCGGCCTGTGGCGCGTTCGAGTCGCCGACGGCAACGATCGCATCCTTCAGCGCCACGACGCGAGCCACAGCCTCGCCCACCGCTTCTGCGAGCGCCGCCGTCGAGGACGAGGCCGCCAAGCTGAAGGTGGTCGCCTGCTCCGGATCCTCAACGTCGGCGCGAAAGCCTAGCGCGTGCAGCGCTGCTGCGCCACCGTCCAAGCCGAGGATCTTGCTCCGCAGCGCCTTGTTGTCAGCCCGCAGCACACCCTTCGACTTGTCAGCCGCGGCATTCTTGAGCAAAAGAGCCGCGGTGCGCAGGGCACCGAGAGCTGGATCGATGCCCTCGTTGCGCTCGACGAGGGAAGCGAGCGCGGCAAGCTCGGCGTCGCACATGTACATGCTGGCGAATAGAGGGAGGCACACGCACGCTCTTTAGAGGTCTTGTGTTGGAGCTGGGTTCCGGCTCCTACCCGGATGGGGGTCTGCGCGCTGACTCGCGCCAAAACGCCCTACCTACCTACCTATCCCCAGGCCGCGCAGCGAAGCGAAAAAACAGCGTCCACCCATACCGCGTTGGTGTCCAGTCCGAGCCTGGCTGTTCTTCACCTTTCTACCTACCTACCTACTAACTTAGAGCGGGCGGGAGGGAGACAGACCCAGGAAGTTCGTTCGCATACTTTGTCATAAGTAAGAAGAATATCTCTCGCTCGCAACAAATCCAGCAGCGCTCACCAGGGCGAGCAAGAAGCTCACACACACTCAACTGCGCTCTGCGCACTGCGGCCCTCGGACGCGTATTTACAAACGATACATGTAACTTGCATGCACCCCTCGACGGTTCGAAGGTCGACGCTCAAACATCACGTCAAAAACAAGTGCGGTGGGTTCGAATCCACATGAGCCGAAGGTGAGGGGGAAGGCTTGCCTGAGATCTGAAGCTCACCCATTTGCCATTGAGGAAGTGAGGAACTGCTCGGCTCACCCCGGTCATGCCGAACAAGCTCCTCTTGTAGCTCGATCGGTCACACCGCCATCGCCGTCGGGGAGAGGGGGGACGACACTGCTTCGGCAAGCGTGCACCCCGATCCTGTACCGTGTTTGTTATGACCCCCCCCCCAATGAACACACCAGTGAGGGAGGGCGAGACGATCGAGGGGCCCCGTACCATGCGGAATCGACCCTATCCAGTGCTCAAGTTTGCTCAAGTGAGGTGAGAACACACCAGTGAGGGAGGGCGAGACGATCGAGGGGTCCCGTAGCCGTACCATGCGGAATCGACCCTATATCAAGTGCTCAAGTGCTCAAGTGAGGTGAGTTGCGATGCCCTATCCTTAATCCTGAGCCCCGCACGTGTTTTCTTTTTGCGTGGCCGTCACTTGTGCTGCAGCTTGTGTGAGCGACACTGCTCGGCACTGCCGGCACACTGTCACTGTCTGTGAGACCATGTGGGTGTCAGGTAAAACCACGCTACTAGCGCTTGGTCACATCGGCCCCGAGGTCAGATCCTCCTACTCTGTTGATGACAAGACTTGTCTACTCGCTGGAGGGCCTGGCGCACAACCCCTGTGCAACTCAGGGTCCTTCCCCGCCCGTCCGTCCCCGGTAGACGGCGTCGGTTATCAGAGGGGTCAGGTCATAGTGACGCGCTCGATGGGTTGCTGCATTGACGCAGACAGTTCAGAAAACGCTGTCGACATCAAAATTTTCCTCGCTGCGCGCCCAACCGCCATGGTGGGCACGCAGCGCGGGGCGCCTGGCGGCGCCCATTTTTTGAAATGTCTGCCACTCACCTAAGCTGATCTCAGAAACACTCGTGCGTCAGCGCATTTTATTTTTCCTTCTCCACGAGCCGGCGTGGGCCGGCGAGTGAAAATCGCAGATGCTCGCTATCGTTAACTTTTTAGTATCGAGATCACATCGAGATCACTCGAGATCACTCGAGATCCCCCACTCGAGATCACGCACAGAGGTAAATCACGGCTACTTCAGAGGTAGAGAGGTAAAGGGCCCACGGCTGCCCAGAGGTAAAGGTAAGAGGTTTGCGCAGGCCCTCAGAGGTAGAGGTAACCTAGACCCCTCCTACCCGGCCCTCTCTGGGCCGAGCTAGAGCTAGAGGGGGTTGTTGTGTTTTGAGAGAGTTGAGCAAGAGTTTCGTTGTGCTTGTGGACGGCCCAGGGGGACTCTCTGTCGTCGGAGAGTAAAAAAGAGTGAGTTCTCGGATTGTCGTTGCTGTGCGTGTGGGCGGGGAGTTGCTCCTTTTTAAACCATGATCTCCTAGTAGTGAGCACTCTGTACTCTTATTACAGTTACATAATTGTAGTTTGTACATATTTGTGGACTGTGCCTGCTGCCTGCAGAGTTGCGCTCGCTCATTACGCGGCACGTGGCTCGCGGCACACGTTGGAGGATGCACACACAATGGACATGAGCTCACTCCCCCCCCCCCCCCCTCCCCCCTTCCCCTCATGCCGCAGCCGCCGACACAGAGGCCGAGGCGCGCGCGAGCGCCTCGAGCCAGACCTCCGTCGCGCCGCCCTCCATCGCCGTGAAGGTTGCGGCTGCCAGGCTGACCTGCTGCTCCTCCGAGAGCGACGCCTGGTTCGCGGCAGCGCCCGAGGGAGAGAAGAAGTCGACGCCGGCGAGCAGGCCCAGCACGCGCCAGCAGCACGCGTCGCTCGGCAGCACCGCGACCGACGGAGAGCGGTTCGGGATGCGTGAGACCGCGGCGGCGATCCGCGCGTTAAGCCTCCTCAGCACGTCGTCGGTGGGTGCGGCAGAGGACTCGGCCAGCGCGGACAGCATCGCGCGCCGGTCGGCGAGCGGCACGTCGGGCGTTACGGCGAGGAAGAGAAGCTTGCCGACGTTGGACGAGTACGGGAGCGTCCGCTGGGCGCATTTCCCGCCGTCAAGGCGGCTGGCGCGGCAGAGCGGGCACGGGAGGGCTCTCCGAGCCAGCTGAACAGAGCACGACTCGCACACGGCGTGCGAGCAGGCAAAGTCGCGGGGTCGCTGCAATCGCGCGCTGGTCTGCAGCGGCTCGAGGCACACGGGGCAGGATTCGTCCGGGTCGTCCGGGTCAGGACCAGTCGTCGCGGCCGGCGGCGGGCCTCCGGGCAGGAGCGATCCGGTGAGCCAAGCGAGGCTCGAACGACGCGACCCGCGCCTGGCTAGTTGGACCATTGGTTGAGTGTGCGAGTGTGCAGCCCCAAACTCGCGCCGAAAAGTCTGATGACCTCCAGAGCGTCCTATTACTTTCAGGATGATGGTCATTACAAGAAACACGCTGCTAGCCTCCCAGGCCAATGTCGTCTCTGGCACTCCTGGATGCATGCACGGTCACAACGGAGTAGCAATGTTCGAAAGTGTCCGAGCGGTCCCGAGCGTCCCCAAACTCGTCAAAGTCTGATGAGGTCATCGTCGTCCTATACTTTCAGAATGGAGGCAAACGCAGCGCAGGGCTCAGCTGTGAGACCAAGTGAATTTGTACCAAAGTTGGTAGACAGTGCCAAACCAACGGAATCGAAATGGCATTAAATTCGCGCACCTAGTGTCCGCACTGCCGCATGGTGCTCCACTCATGAGAAGGTCTCCGCTGCGATGCTTCTGCTGTCTGCGTCAATCACCCGTTTTTGCCCATTTTGTTGTGTTGCCCATTTTCGGGCATCCGTCAAAATACCTGAAGATCTGTATATAGGATTCGCACCAAACCTTGCTCAGCTGATCCAGCCTGGGGAGAAGGCCAGCCCTGGCCAAAGAAACCAGCACCTCATCGGGCTTCCCTGAGCGTCACAGCTCGGTGATCGCGCCGGCCGGACACCACTGTAACGGCCGTTCCGGGCATTTGAACGCGACCTTCGGGGGCGAAGACATGGGCTCTATGGGTATGGCTCAGACTGGACTCCTCTTGGTCCCTTCTGATGCCCTAGGCCACACCTGGGCCTTACCCGGGGTCCTAGGGGGCGGGCAGGGTTTGCCCCCGAAACTGGCATGGGGAACCTTAATTAACTCTCGACCCCCGCACAAGAGAGAAATCACGACTCTCACAGTTGGTTTTCTAAAATCTCTCTCCCCCGCACTCAATTTACACCTGGCAACCCTGTCTGCACGTCTCGCGCGCGCGTGAACAGGGCTCCAGGCCCCAAATGACGCGTGATTGAGAGATTTGTTGGTATTGCTAAAAATCTCTCTAAATTTATTGAGGTGTGAATACAATATGATTTTAGGTATGTAATATGGTGGTGTTTTTGCGCAAATTCCACCGCTCTTTATACTCGTTAATTCACGAGGCGACCCCAGGGAACCGTGGGCGTGCTGTGAATAAACAGCGAAGTAGACGCCTGCCAGCAGGTGTAGATTCTTTTTGCTTGGGCGGGCCTGATGCCGGGGTAGGTAGGGTAGGTCTGGGCCCTCCCGTCGGGTTTTTCCCTCTTCCACGCTGGAATTTTCACAGCAGAAAAAGATTTTTTTTCGCGGAAATCACGATGTCAACCCTCCCCAAATGGGTGATCTGATGCTTGTAGGGCTTGAGAGTGGCCTGCCATGTCACAAGAAGGACTCTGGTTGCAGGAGAGTACCACCAACCATCACTCTAGTTGGTATAGTACCCCACCTTCACCCATCATATGATTTCTTTTTTAGTTTCCCATAAGTAAGGTAGGTAGGTAGGTAGGTAGGAAGGGGCAGGGCAGGGGCCGGCCAGGTTTTTGCAGAATTTCAGCAGGCCCGCCCAAGCAAAAAGAATCTACACCTGGTGCGAGCGCATTGCTCAATTCTTGTGCCTGGTGCGCAAGGAGCGCGAACAACAACAACAACTGCCCTACATGGGTGGTGACGCCGCGGTGAAGGCGCCGACGCCGAATACCATCGACCGAGCGGCCCTTGTGGAGATCGTGAGGCGCGGCGGCACCCTCCACGGACAGCAGCAGGCCAAACCGTATGCCAACGGGCTTGACAACTTCAAGCGTGAAACGGACATCCGCCTCAGGGGCTTCTTCTGCGTCAAGCTCGGCCGATGTCAGATCCCTGTCGCGTGCACGTACAACTTCTTCCCATTCTTCCCGGATGAAGGGGAATTAACTTACTGCGACGATTGCTACTGCTTTCCGACGTGCCTGCCGGTCCCGATGCTCTTGCCGGTGCCCGGGTGTGGCTGCTGCGTTTTGGGCGACTTCCACGACAACATCTATTATGCGAGAAGCGGCGACGGAAAGCACGGGGAACAGTCACCAGTCCAACTTGGCGAGATGATGCTCATCGACGACGAGCGCGGCACCCTCGCATACTATCAATACGCCTGCTGCGGCGGCGGCAAGCTGCGCAAGTACCCCTGCGTCACCTGCAGCCGCGTTGCTGAGCCGCTGCCTTGCCACCCGCCGCCAGCCATGTCACCCGAAATGCTTGAAAGATATGGCGGTTCCTGTTGAAGCCTGTTGAAGGCGCACCGAGCAACTTCAGCTGCAGTCGTTCTATTGCATGTCGTGGACCTGTCAGCGGCAAGGAGTTGGAGTGTTGCCGCAGCGTAGTGCACACGGACCGCGGAGCCAAGTTGACGGTACTGGTTCGGCGGGCCGCCCTGCTGGTGGGCAGCGAAAAAGGGAAATAAAAGAAAAAGCGTTGCATGAGCTTGAGGTGCTTGGCGTGGCTTAGTGGTGGCTTAGTGGTGGCTTAGTGGTGGCTTAGTGGTGGCTCTCGCGAGGCGCGCGGGGTCCGGGGAACGCGGGAACCACCCCTCGCGTGCCTGCGGGCGACGGCGGTCAGTAGTCCGCCACGCCCTTGTAAGCCGAGTCACGTGAGTCCTCGGTCACATCACACACACACACGCTAGTCGCTACACACACCGCTCACCGCGCTCACCCACGCGCGCACTGGGCTTTGCACTTTTTCTTTTAATGGATAATGCCGTGGGGCTCCTGTGACCTGTCGTTTTTTAGACGTGGAGAGACGCGCGAGGGTGCCCCCCCTTGCCCCACCACCTTCATGTGTGTGTGTGGAGAAGTTTACGCATTAGCCATTACGGGGGAAGGACCGTGATGTGCGGATCACAGTAGCCCCGGGACGGGGGGGGGTCGGGCCTCACCCGGGGCTCACCGGGGCCCGGCCATCCCCGCCCCCTCCCTCACCTGCCCCACCCCGGGGCCTCACTCGCGATGCGCGACCCAGCCAGGGGCACCACGGGCGGGCCACGCGCACGCGGCCCCGTCCGTACGCCTACCGCGCGCCCCCGGCCCGCGCCACGCCGCGGCACCACCCGCACACCGCCGAGGCGAGGGAGAGCGGCCTGTGCGGCACCACCCCTCACACAGAACAATACTACAAATCAACTAAACGGGTGAGACCCCAGCACTCTGCTCTGCACAGACAGTCCGCACTGCTCCAAACGTAGGGTGCCCACAGGACCCAAAAGAAAATAGCTTTCCGACTCAAAAAGGGACGCACGAGGCAAATCTGATGTTGGCCAGTTCCAATAGGAGCGAGGCCTCTTCCGTTGGGGGACCGAGTGAATAGGAAACGAGGGTTTCCCATTGTGTCCCGCTCCAGCGCGAGCGTGACACTGCACTTGGCGCCGAGCGCCCGCGGCTCAGACCTTGTGCAGGCCACCCCTCGGTGAGCGCACCGGTCCGGACCGATGGCGCTCGGTGTGGAGCAAGCAAGACCCCCCCCCCCCCCCATCGGCGCGCGCTCGCCATTCCAACGGCCGCCAGGAGCACCAAGAGGACTCCTCATGGCTGCACTCAAGTGGGCTTCGACCGGCCTCGGCTGGGGGGGCGGGTTGTCCCGGCTGCGGACGCCTTCTGCAGCCCCCTGGGATGGGGACAGCACCCAAAAACTGCCCCCGGCGGCATACAGCACTGCCAGCCAGCCTCTTCCTCCTCCTCAAGGGCTGTACTATAGGCCATATTGCGCCGCCTCCTACTGGCAGCCGGGCGGGCGCGCGCCGCGGGCGCCTCGGCGCGCGCACGGCTCGCAAAGTTCGAACGAGTACTGCCGCCCGGCCGCCTCAAGGCTGCCGGCAGCAGTACTCGCTCGCAAGGCGCGCACCGCTGCTTCT